GTATCAATATTTATTGGTTCAAATAAATAAAATGAATAATATCGAGTATCCGAAGTAAACGTTTTGAAAAATCTCTATGAGATAACGGTTCCCCACAAACTTCTATTGGTAATTATGGAGAAGTAAGAGTAGAATATCCTACGGTCAATAAGAAGCCATTCTAAATTAGCCTCCTTATGTCAAACAAATAACTTACTAAAACAGATAAGCTGGATAAATTCCTACCCCAATTTTCTTCTAATTATATTTGCCAGTTTATGTGTATGTGCTGAAGCTCATGTGCACCATTAGTTTGAAATCAAAGGTTTCCAACAACCCTAAGTGGATCCTCCATAACCAACAATGTGGTTAAACCGATGAACATTCACTTTCCTTCCTCTTAATTTCGTAAATAACAGCCCCACCACAAGAAGGCAGTGCGTAGGACTTCCCTGACAGTAGCTGTATACGTATGGCTATCTGAGAGCATTAGTAGAGGTAGAGCTGACTCTCCCCACTCTCGACTGTATTAGGGTATTTGAGGGCTTACCATACTGTTCCATTTTGAATGAATAAATTTACTAGTCAGAAAATGGTGATATTTATTGTTGAATTAAATAGGTCATGACTATTATTTAAACAATTTTATTTTAATACAGCATGTCCGTTTCAATTATCTAAAATTTAGTCCATGAATGATATACTTGGGTTGATCCGGTTAAATCATTTGACCATTTTTATTCTGACTAGTTTCCTAGTGATCCATATAACTGTAACGTTATGCAATTCAATTGAGATTCGATAGGGAAGCAACAATTCCTACTAGACTACAGATAAACTACTATTGATAGGTGTTAATTACCATGAATTATAGTTCCAGAACAACTGGGCAATTGTATCCAAGCATTAATACTAACACATTAAAATAACTTAACAAGTTTTTTTCATATTATGAACTTTGTAAACATTCAGTTTAGGTTCTAATTACCGATTCATTATGGCTAGACTATAATTTATGGATGAATCAATCAAGTATAAGATAACAGGTCTCGGATTTTCGCGCGAAATTCATTCATCCATTTGGCATTATAGCTGATATCAGTTCGTGATGAAAACTCTAAATCTAATTCCTAACTCTAACCATCAGCTGTAAATCATAGTTCTAATTCCTCACACAGGTTTATAACCCTGATTTAGTCCTGGTTACTAGGTGGATACTCTCAAGGTAAGTTTGGTGTCGCTCAAAGGTTGTCCATAAATTATAGTCTCACAGAATCTACTAGTCCCCTACTAAAATTGGTACACTAAAAGTCAAAATTTTGTTTTAATCGAACAAAGAATGAGACACTGTACTGTACTTTTTTCCATCGCTGAAGTCTAAGTAACACTTTAAACATCATATTCACCTTATCAATCTATTAATTAATTCAATTTTATAATTACCAACATATTCTAGCCAGGCTCCTCAGATCAAATCTACTGGAATGAGGTTCACCTCTATAATTCACTAGATAGAATTTCAGTATCGTTACTGTTTGCTTTCATAAACCGAATATCGAAAAATAAAATAATCTATTATAGGCAGAGATAGATGGTGGCCTACAGTGAAATCGAAGACGCGCGTTTCATCCTTTATAGGACTCGTCAGCTGGATGTACCTACATCCCAGAGTTCATGTTCACTACGGAAGAAATGTTGAGGCAATCTGCACACGATGCACATATACCAATAAAAGACTGATCAGTTCCAGTTCTTAACTTCAATAAGAAGATTCAAACAACTAATACAAAAATGAATTAACCCATTATAGGTTTCTAAACCTTAGGACCAATGGTTCTTTAAAACTCGTAAAACTATGTATTCTGTAAGCCATAATGATAACTGGCAAATATCTCACTATCAAACTAAACACAATAATTGAAGCATGGATAGAAAGAGTAACTTGGATATAAAAAACTCTTCTTGAATCTAACTTCTTATGAATAGTATTTGAATATTCGAAAACTGTGTATAAATAATGGTATCTCACTTAGATACCGATTCTTCATAGTCCCAGGAGAGATTTTATTAGCACTTAATTTTGTTACTCTGTCGTATATGATTTTTGTAGATCTCTTTCTATTATCACTTTGCATTCACTCAGTTGTAACATGATCCGTTCACAATAGTAAATGGCATGTATCAAGAAAATATTTTTCAAATCATAGGTTAACTACTTACTAATATAAAGTAGTAAAAAAAGCATCCTATAAAAACGTTCAGAGTGCGGATTTTAGAAGACTATATCATAATTTAAAATGTATCATGATTAAGTAGACGGAATTAGTGATTTCTGTTACTTGGAAGTATTTCTAGAGTATCTACCTCAAAATAAGATGAGTTCATTGTATTTCAATGTATTGTCTCTAGTTACATACAAGCTAATAGGTTAGGTTGTAATAAAATAATTTGAAAAATGGGCATCTACACGTTTATTTGAACATATTTCAAAGAACCCATTCATTCGATGATGATGATGAAATAGTCTTGATGGTTCGATAGCACGACAGACAATCTAACTCTGGATTAGTAAAAGTTACGGAAACCTTAGCAATTAGTAAGCTTGAGATTAACCTTTCCATTCATAGAAACTCGTTGGATAATCCTTTGGAACCCCTTGGTAACCAAATGATTTTGACATCTCTTCTCAATTTTATTATTCAATTATTCATAATGGCAAACTAGTGAGTTTAGTTTACATGTCTCTTCTTTTTGAACCTTTTGAATCTTCTACTATATTAAATCATGAAAATTATTTTGAAAACATTCTAGGACTGTCACTTCTAGCCAGTAGCAAATTTAAATCTTAACTACACTTACTTTTACATTCTATACACCTTGTGTTTTTCAAATTAACAAGACTGATAGATCCTGGGTTCGAATCTTACTAGGCAGGGTCTTGGAGTGTTTCGAGGTTTTCCATGGTGATCTAGCTTCAATTGACTAATGATCTCAACTATTGAAATTACTAAAATCTTCAGAAAACCCCTTCTGATACTAATCAACATTTGCTCACTAGTGACTGGTTTCAAGAGGTATTTCCTGGAATTCTAGTGAGAAGCAGTGACCAGTGGAGTTCAACCAGTTCTGTTGTGAGATAGTAACTCACTGATGACAATGGTGGATATGTCACTCAATTTCATGAATTATGTTGATAATTTAAAATAACTTTTTGATTCACTGATTACTGTGTTAATGTCACTTTAGTGAAGAATCTATGTTACGTTAGTCTGCCTATTTCTCCTTAGTCAATCAATCAGTCATAAACAATGTGCATGATGAAAGGAATGTGCATTAGTGCAAGTCACCATAGTAACATCAATATAGTGAAATGTAATTACCAGGATGAATTGGGAAAGAAGTCAAACTAGTGTACTGGTAATGATTATAAGAAAGAGGAAGGAAAAACTTATGATTATTGAATTTAAACAAAAAGGGTTACAAAAAAATTCTAATATTTGACACCATGAATTATTAAGTTAGCGGTTATATCTCCTAGTGTATTCTGGAATAACTATTGTTCTTGCTTTACTTAGATTATCAAGGAGAATCAACTGTAGGATAAGACATATGTGCTTAAAATATTGAATACATCATTTACCTCAATATTTGGATTGTATTCATTCAAGTCGTAGGCATTTTTGAATCTGCCACATTGATTTTTCTGAAGAGAATCTGTAAGAAATCTAACCTGTAAACTGGCATTTATATTAATTGGTAAGTCTATATGATCTTTAACAGTTGAACTCGAAAGTTGACCTAATCTAGACCAGCATCAAAAACTTGGAAGCACTGGATGGTCGTTTTGTTTTAATACGAGACTCATCAGTAGTGCACATTCACGATCGATATGAAATTATACATGGTTATGAAATCTGGCAGTTGAAGATGAATTATTGAAGAAGATTCTTTTCTTTTGAAAGTATTTGGATGAAAAGAGGAACCAATCTACAGAGAATGGATTCGACATGGTAGCATATAGCTTGTAACTTAGGTGGGTATTCTATCAGGAAATGGTAATTCAATGCTCTATGTTATCAAACTTCGACTGATTCTCATGGAATTTAATCAATGTCGACGGTTAATAACAAACTCACTTTTTACATGATTAGTCTACATTAGTAATGTTATAACAACCGTATAACAGCCCTATAAAAATTTTAAGAATTCTCAAAACAATATTTCAAGTTTCATGTGGACGTATTGTGGTGTATACTACTAATATCGACAGATATAAGTAGTATATATCACCATTCAAAAGTGGAATGACTGGCGTCAGACAGGTTAAGAAAATCGAAGAGAAGAGAATGAGAACAGAGAGTGATTGAAGTGGAAATGAGAGAACAATTGAATAACATTTTGTAAATGAAGTATTTACTGTATAGTTCTCAGATTTTACTAAGAGATTCTGTAATTTCGTATTCAAATACATTCGATTGTTCCCTCTTGTGTTCTCGTTTACGACAGAATGACAAACAAGATTTTATCGAATCATTTCGACCTGTTGACTTTACATGTATGGTGTAACCTTATCAAAATAATTGAAGATTGACTTGACTTTTAATTTGATCAAATGCATATATAAAGATAAGACTTAGGTAAAAAGGTAGTCTAAGGGTTATCCAACCAGAATCGAGAATGTGACTTTTAGGTTTTTCTGCGAAAATCAAATATTGTGTAAACTGTGAAGCGAACATTCAGGCAAGATTGTTTAGGCTTACTCTTTCTCTTTTTCCTGGTGATTGACTGGATCATAAAAGACGTCAACATCTGGGGAGAAGCATGGGATACATTGAACAGCTAGGATTTAGCTCGTCGATTTAGACTTCGCAGATGATCTGGCTCTTTTATCGCACGCGCAACAACAAATTCAGAAGAAAACGGCCAGTATAGCAGCAGCGGTAGGTCTCAACATACACAAAGCAAAAAGCAAGATTCTCCGATACAACACAGCATGTACCAATCGAATCGGAGAAGCAATGGGAGATGTAAAAACCTTTACATATCTGGGCAGCATCATTGATGAACACAGTGGATCTGATGCAGATGTGAAGGCGCGGATCGGAAAAGCAAGAGCAGCATATTTACAACTAAAGAACATCTGGAACTCAAAACAGCTGTCTTTCAACCAATACCAATGTCAGAATTTTCAATACAAACGTCAAAATAGTTCCATTGTATCGGGTGGATACTTGGAGAACTACGAAAGCCATCATTCAAAAGATACAAGTGTTTATTAACAGTTGTCTACGCAAAATACTTCGGATCTGTAAGCCAGACATTATCAGCAACAACCTATTGTGAGAGAGAACAAACCAGATCCCAATGGAGGAAGAAATCAACAAGATGTGCTGGAAGTGGAATCATGAAGGTCAAAGGAGAAGCGTAAAACCGAAGTACACATTACACCGAGAAATGTGGACAGACATGAGAAGAATGGATAAGAACTGAATAGAACTAGAAAGTAAGGTCCAGGACAGAGTGGGTTGGAGAATGCTGGTGGGCGGTCTATGCTACATTGGGGGTAATAGGCGTAAGTAATTAAGTAAGTGAAGTGAACATTACCTTTCTTTCCTACAAACTATTCATTTACAAGCCTGTTTTATGATTGTCAAAAGAACTGCTTGAAAATTTGTCTCAATTGTTTATGAATCATAGTGGGAGATTTTCACATGTTCAATTAATACATTGATGAAATGGATTGATTGATTGATTACGTTTCTTCAAGTAAGAAGGTCAAACCAGAAATACCAGGCTAGAAGAGAATGCATCTAGTTATGTCAATTAAACTCTATAACTTATGGTAGTCATGTCAAGATGATTTTAACACTTCAGATAAAAAATCAATTATTAGGGAAATCGCCTAAAATGTATTATGTTGGATGTTATTGTCCATTACCAAAACATGTGTATGTCTCCCTCTCTTGTCACAATCTTATTTTGATAATCACTGCCTTTGTAATTCAAATATAACCTTTACTACTCTGAGAGCCAAAATCCGACTCATACATCCTCATCTTGCCTCCCGGATAGTGGGACTCAGTCCCATGAACTAACGTGATCGGTGACCCAGGTGGTAGAGGTCGGGCTAATCACCAACTCTACCGATACCCACAAACTGGGTACGAAATCCAAAAAGAATCACAGCACAATTATTCCTGGATCGAAAAGCGACAAAACATTCATAAAAGTGGTGCATGGAATGCACGGGGTTGCTTCCTACAGGGAAAACTCCAACCGATTGCAAAAACAGCTATTCTAATCCCGGTAGATGTGTCGTGCTTCGATGTGGCCTGTTTCTCTCCCAAAAGGGCGTACTAGGCTTTACCAACTTATTTGGCTGGAAGGGGCACTTTAGTACTCTACTTTTTTTTACCCTATTACCTAGTTTTTAACATATTTGTAGTTTCCTTATTGTTTTCGCGTGATGGAGTTATGTTAGTCGGGACGAAATCAGTGTGTGAATCGAAATGGGGAATAAATTGTGTAGTGTTCCAGTTGACTTGTCTTCTCTCACTCGCGTGCTTGTTAGCTAATCAGATGATAGAATAGTTTTCGTCTCACTACTCCAATCAGTTGACCTCACTTCAAACTTACACACACCAGCTTCAAGGTTAAGCCAGTCAACCTATCGCGTCAAGGTCTTAATCTGCACAAAAGTGGGTAGACAGATCAAGGACGTAACACTAGTCACATTCAGTCTTGAATATCAGTAAAAAAAAAGAAAAACAAAAAACTTTATGAGTAGTATCTTAGGCAAAATATTATTAGGTGACTTTAATATGTATATATAGGAAGATTTAAAGACTAAGCTCCATAACATACTACTTAAAAAGTAAAACACATTGAATGTCTCAATCAAAATTTCATACATTTGTATCTCATTATCATTATTATTACATAATCGTTATTGAAACATTTAGGAGAAGAAAGAAAACAAAAAATAGAAAGGCCAGAAACAATAAAGCCAGTAATGATTTCAATTTCTACCAAAAAAAAAACAAAACAAAATAACCTACATATCAACTAAATTCAATGACTTCATTACAATAACTGAAAATAAGAAAAGTAATCACTGAGAGGTGGGAGAAATCCAGTTTAAGAAATTATAAAACAAAATATCAATCTAGTATAGATAACATAATCATCACCAACCCCCCACCCCAACCCCACCCCACCTCAACCCCTCTATACATATATACTGCTAATATAGCGGTTTTCAAGTTATTACATAATACCAGCTTTGTAGAAAATGAGATTGATCAATATTGTTACTGAAGGGATGAATAGATAGTTTCAAAGTGACATTTGTGAGATTTAAATATAAGAAAATACATTAGTATGAAAATAATTGTCTGAAGATAAGTATCATGGCAGAATGATACCAATTTGATTATGTGTTACATAGTAACTGAAATTAGATAAATATTGAAAACCAAGAAGTTATAGACAAATATCTCATCGAAACATGAAAATCCTCTATTATAAGCATCTACGATCACATAGGGATCAAACTCAAGATCTCCATTTCTCGGATCAGTTTCTTGATGTTTAAACCACTAGGATGTTGTTATACGGTGATCTATATTTCTAACTGTGGTTAATTAGTGATTATGAAGAGCACTCATCGAATGAGATTAGTGATATTTAGTTCACGTCCTATACATTCTTACTAGAACTCTGGGGGGGGGACATTTACTAAAGTTAATCACTAATAAGAACATAGTGAAAAGTCATTGAAAACTGTTGAACAATAGATAGCTATATCTGCCTTAGTCCGAAACTACTTTAACAACTCAAAACAACAACCTACTTAAATAATCGGTTCCGAAACATTTCGGTTTCAAGTAGTGTGTGATGATTTTAGACCATTACATTAGTATCTTGAAATCAATATTTTCTACGTCGGTCAATTCATGTTATATGTGGAAACTATCATTCTCTAACATCTTCAACATTGTATACTTGATAAGTCATAACTTCTTACTGATACTTTAGAAAATTCTTCTTTTAAAGTTATTCACCATCAAATTTATGGTTACTACCTGGACCAGTGTTTTATGGAGAATAATTCAAGTAAATGTATTGATTAGTTGCTGTGTTGTACTAAGAGTTTCATTAACTAGTCCATTGACTGATATCAATTTAAAGTGAACAGATCTCCGTTAGATAGTGAGATGCAACCTATAGGAATATTATATCAACAATTAACCGAAGCTAAACTTATGTACCATTATTAACGAACTTAATTAACTAAATGTGTTTATGTCTTCCACGAAACCTGAATATTCATAAGTCAATTAAGTATAAGATGCTGAGTGTATGGACATTATTAAAGGGTCCAACAGGAGGATAAAAAGCGTTATCAAGTACTTTCTGAGATTTTATAGTTCTATTCATAGATGTCAGTTTATGATGAAGTCACCAACCAAAAACACAAGTAAATTTCAAAAAAGAAGATTTAACTAAAAGGAAACAGATAATATGTAATGGAAACTTGAACAAATCACGTACTTTTGCAAAGTGTACATATAAGAGGGTTAAGGTAATTACCCAAAATAATCCCAATGGAACCAGTTGAATAATAAATATACATGAACAAATTTTGTTTATATTCATCCAGTCTTGTAGCCTGTAGCTCTTCCAGAGTTACTGCCGGTCCCAAGCTCGGGTAAAGGAGGAGGGTTGGGCATGGGGTTAGCGACTCCGTCCCGTAGAAAACTAACTCGCTAAAAAAAACGCTACCCATGTCTTGAATATTTAAGTTTCTTACACACATTTAATCCTTTTAATTTAGTTGGACAAATTCAAAATAGGAGAGAAAAGTTAAATCCGAGAAATATATGCTCCCAATAGTTTAAATCATGAGTCAATTGAAGCTAGACCACCATGGAAAACCTGGAAGTACTGTTTGACAGCCGTTTCGTCCTACTGTGGGACTTCTCAGCAGTGCGCATCCATAATCCCGCCTCGCGAGATTCGAACTCAGAACCTATCAGTCTCGCGCGCGAGCGCTTAACTATTGAAATATCCACAAAACCCTTTTTGAAAATATATAATCATCAAAAGACTTTCAAAACTAATAAATGTTTATTGTTTGACTTTGGTTAGTTCCAGTGAGAATGTGAGATCAGTGGAGCTAAAACATGTAGGACGTGAACTAAAAATCACCAGTCTCAGTCGATGATCGCTCTTCATAATCAATAATTAGCTAGAGTTAGAAATATAGATCACCATATAACAACATCCTAATTGGTCTAAAGATCAAGAAACTGATCCGAGACACCGAGATCTTGAATTTGATCCCTATGTGATCATAGATGCTTATAATGGAGGATTTCCATGTTAGGATAAGATGTTTGTCTATCACTTCTTCGTTTTCAATAGATGACTAACTTTAATCACCATGCGATATAAAATGGTAAATCTAACAATCTACAGAACACCTCTACACTACGAATAATAAGTGTTAAATTACTGAAATGAAATCATCAATAGATGAGAATATAAAGTGAATGAGCCTTGTATAAGCTGTCATAACGAGTTAAGAAGTTACAGAATGGTATTAAAATGTTTTGTTATCAATGATGATATTTGTATTAGATTAAATGAAATGAAACAAACGAATATGTATTTCATTTCAATGATACTAATCAAGTTGTCCCCGGTTAATGTCTATCAATAGTTAAGAAAACAAGCTATTTGTATGAACATTCGAAATGAATTCAATTTGCTGTGGAAAAAACACTTCATTGATTACAATGTGATTTATCATAATCACCAACTTAACAAAGATTTAGCACAATAGGGATTTGTGTAGAGTGTAGCAATTTTAATAATTGAATTCATGAGTCAATCTAAGCTAGACCTTTTACAGTATGAGATTGTGGAGATTGTTGAGATTTTGACTGAGATCAGGAATCGGTGAATGTTAGATAATTAGTGAAAACCTATAAACATTGGACGACCTTTTCGTCCTCGTGTAGGACTCCTCACCAGTGTGCATTCACAATCCCACACGTGGGATTCAAACCCAGGAACTTCAGTCTCGCGCTTGAATGCTTAATCTGTAGACACTACTGAGCTGGCATCCAACGCTATTAATGTCTAACTTCAACCAATCCACAAAATTAAGCGATCATCTTACATTGTTTTTAGAGAGTAACTGCCACACAACAGAAACGGATTAAGTCCAGTGGTGGCGGCTTCTCACTAGAACTCCAAGAATTACATTTTGAAGCTAGTCACTAATGAGCGCATGGTAATTATCATTAAGAAGTAACGTAAGTTGTTGAGTTTTTAAATGAGATCATGAATCGATAAGTGAGTACTGCTAAGGAGTTTCATATTTAAATGAAACAGCCGTCCAATGCTTCCAGGTTTTCAATGGTAGTCTAGGTTAAATAGACTCATGAATTAAACTGTTAAAATTCTATTTTATATTCAACAGCTTTCACTTGAAACCATAACAATAACTATCCAAATAGGTTTAAAATAATCCTCTCCTCTTTTCCTTGAAATGAAATCTATTCAACTAACATTATAATGACAGATAAACACATAAACGTATATTCATTGTTTCATTGCTTAGAATTCTAATTTCCATTTATAATCAGCTCTAATAAACAATAAACTGCTGACTGCCTTTTTCACATGTTGTTACTCATAACTTTAAATGGAAGTCTAATGATAAGACAAGTTGAACAGCTTATTTTAAGTACATAACTGACTAAATGAACTCCAAATGAAAAAAAACCTTTAGGCTAATCAACCAAGTTAATTATATAGACTAATTGGAATGGTTTTAAGTAATATATTTTGATAGCATAAGGTTTTCTCTATCTCCCACCCATCCATATGTAATATAATGATAATTAAAGTATTTAGCTCTCAACCATTGAATAACTAGTTCGAACCCTTCCCTGGTTTATTCCAATTGTTTATTCCAATTGATTCTATGTACATGGGTTGAAATCACACTTTGTAATGTGAGGACTAGTAATGTATGCTGCTTATGTAGACAGTACTATATAATACCAATCAAAAATGGAATGCCTGGCAGTAGAAGGTTAGGAAGACTGAATTTAAGAAAACAGGAATGTAAATAGAGAGCAGTTGTGATAATAGCAGACCATTCAATGATGTTAATGTCTAACCTCAACCAATCCACAAAATCGAGCGACATATCCACCGTTGTCATCAGTGAGTTACTATCTCACAACAGACCCAGTTGAACTCCACTGGTCACTGCCTCTCACTAGAACTCCAGGAAGTAGTTTTTGAAGACAGTCACTAGTGAGTATATGTTGATTAGTATCAGAAGGGTATTTTTGTGGATATTCTAGTAATTTCAATAGTTGATATCATGAATCAATTGAAGTTAGACCATTATGAGAAACCTGGGAGCACTGGACGGCTGTTTCGTCCTATTGATTTTAGTGTCAATCTCTACTGGCTTTGTGTAATGTCGTGTTGTTTGAAAAGCGGAACAATAACTTTAAATAAATTATTTTTATGATCATATTCAATTCGTGGATTTTCCCGTACTATTATTATTATTATTACTGTAGTGAACGAGAACACAAGTTGGGACAATCATACGTATGCGGATACAAAATTACAGAATTGCTTAGTAAAATCAGAAAACTATACAGTAAATACTTCATTTGCAAAATATTCATCAATTGTCTCAGACTTTGTTGTTCCTTCGTTTCCATATCAATCACTCTTCTCTTCTATTTTCTCAACCTTCTGATGCCAGTCACCTCACATTCAAATGGTGATACATACTACTTATATCTGTCAATATCAGTAGCACACACCATACTGCTACTATTAATACTAATATTATTATTCAGACTATGAGGCAATGTGACGTTGGTTCAAATGCTATAAAGAGCATTGATTTCCTTCAAATTTGCAACCAAACTTTTTAAACCATTACCAACTATCATGAGGCCTAAAACAATCACAGTTTCCTGCCACCTACCTCAAACCACCTAACACTCATCAAGACAGTGTGATGATAATTAGCATAACAAAATAAATTCAATAGAGTAATATGTTTTACTTAGCAAATTATTTATGGGCTTTTTACTTCTAACCAAACATACAAGATGCACTGTAGAATGAAGTGTCTTCAAATTTATGAGACAGTAATGGTTTTTTTTACTCCGCCTGTAACTCTTCTAGGGTTGTTGTTGGTCTCAAGCCCGAGTAAAGGAGGAGGGTTAAGCATGAGGTCAGCAACACAATACCGTAGAAAACAATCTTGCTAAAATGATGCTAACCAGAAGGTGTTGCTCCACGAGGAGCAATAGGGGTAAGCAGCAGGGAAATTTTTTTTTCCAAGAGCCTAAGATATGTGTGCTATTATTAATACTACTGTTATATTTACTTACCACATACTAGTTTATATATTTAACTTAAGGTTATACTGTTCCTGTGAGAATTACTGTTTCCCGTACTATCCTTAAACCGAAGTAGATATAAAAATGTTTGAACTTGTGACGCACTTCTTGAAATCCATGTACTTTAACCAGTGGGACTATAATGTATGTATGACCTTTAAGCGACGCTAGACTGACCTTGAGAGTATCCACCTGGTAACCAGGACCGAATGATGGTTATAAACCTATGTGAAAAATCAGAATTCTCATTTACTGTTGATGATTAAGGTTAGGAAGTAAATTTCGGGTTTTCATCACAAAGTGACGTCAGTATTAATACTAAAGCTCTATTTTTGTAAATTGAATTTCGTGCCAAAATCCAAGATCTGTTATTTTGTACGTGATTAGTTCGTCCATAAATTATAGTCTCACCCTTTAACTACTAAAACATCATCTTACCGATGAACAAAACTATTGATTTTTCAACACATGGTGTTAGATTACTTTAAATAATTACTGACTCAGAGATTCACTCATACAGTATTGCTGTTGTTGTTGTTTGTTTTTGATAATTTTTTTTATCGTTCTTCAAATCATCTACACATTTTACATGGCGAACATTATACTATTCATGAAAATAACAGACAAATATCGTAGATGTGCAATGCTGAGGAGTCCCACGATAAGACGAAACAGCCATCCAAGTTTTCCATGGTGATCTAACTTCAATTGACTCATGATCTCAACCATTGAAATTACTATAGTATCCACAGAAACCCTCTTCTGATACAACCAATCAATAGTATGTTAGGAAACGATGATACTATGGATATAAAATCTAGAAATATGTTTTTATTCACACACACACACATACACGAATATAAAATCTCTGAGAACTAATATTACTACTGATATTATTAATAATCAGTAGTAGAAAATAATAAAAGTCAAAAAAATGCTTTGGTTATTCGGTGATATTCACAGCAATCAGAGAATATACTGATTGAACAATGGTGTAAGTAAATAAAAACAAAAGAATAAACAAACAAATTATTCATATTTCTTGGTTAAAAATATTAAAAAAAAGAAATTAAACTGGACTGATATGTTTTTTTTCGTTTTTGTGTTGATAGTTTAGGTGCTTGGGAAACACAAACACACATACCCACGCACACATACGCACTCTCTCTCTCTCACACACACACACACACAAAACTTGTGAATGTAACTAAGTTAAAGTTGAATAAGTCAAAAAAAATTTTCATTCAGGGATCACAGCCATAGATTACGGGTTAATCACTATGTCAACAGAGAAATTAATGTACTCAATTAAAAAATAAATAGAATCATAAGAAAATATAATAATCAATAAAATAAATCGATTAATCAGGTTAATTAAACATTTTAAATAAAGTAATAATGATAATGATATAAGCAACAACAAAAAAAAATGTAAGATTATCGCATACAACAATTGAGAATTGATGGTGTGCATGGATGTCTCTTAGTGCTTACTGATTTGTTGCGTATAGCGGTACGATGGGTTACATGTTTATTATTATTATTATTGTTATTATTATTATTATTATCATTATTATTATTAATATTAGTATTATTATCATCATCATGATTCCGATGTGATTTATTCGAAACCCGTTTCTGTCTAGATAGATAGATAGATAATATTATAGATGTAATGTGAATATTACTGTTATATTGTTTGAGCTCACCGAATTTTAGGCGCATTGAAATCCCGTAAAGCAAATGCCATCGCTGAATTATCCAATTGTGCTTGTCGTTCATCACGATCTATATGACAATCAATAAAAAAAATATCAAAAGGAAAAAGAAAACTATTTATTCTGATTACAATCGGGATTTGTAGAGATTGTAGTAATTTTATTAGGTGAATTCATGAATCAATCTAAGCTACACCAACATTAAAAACCTGAAAGCCGTAGACCGTCGTCTCATCCTTGTATAGGACCTTTTTGAGCTGTTTAATGATATGATAAAGATTTTAGAACATTGTTTAACACAGTGAACATTGGACATCAAATTGCAATTATACATCATATAACTGGGTACATTTGTAAGATAATGATTTGGTTGAAATTAGACATTAACACCGTTGGATGCAGCTCGGCTCTGCAGTCTAATGGTTAAGCGCTCGCACATGAGACCGACAGGTCCTGGGTTCGAATATCGCGAGGCGAGATCATGGATGCGCACTGCTGCGGAGTCCCACAATAGAAAGAAACGACCGTCCAGTGCTTCGAGCTTTACCATGGTAGTGGTCTAGCTTCAATTGACTTATTGATGTGTGGGCGAGAACGATCATGATTGGTGTCTTCTGAGTCAGACATGTAGACAGTCTGACAGGTGTCAGATAAGTTATATATTCCCTTACCCTTATTATTGTGACACACTCTCTTATATACATCCTATTATTGATTGTTCATTTGTTGTGGATTGTGTCGGTTTTGGGTGTGGAAATATATTACGTTCTGGTCAGGCTGATTACGTGTTCTTGATCTGAGTTGTGTTGAAGTCCTGTAGAATAGACACTGGGAGGGATCTAGTGCAGATAATCGTTTAAGTGTTACAACATCAGACAAGGTAATACCGAGCGTTATAAAATTCGCGACTGATCGTTATAACACTTATGATTTCAACCAATGAAATTATTAAAATCTCCATAAAACCCCTTCTGATAATAATCAGAATAGTTGAATTCATGAGTCAATCTAATCTAAACCACCATTGCAAACCTGCAAGTAGTGGATGAACGTCTTGTCCTTGAATACGACTCTTTTGAGTTGTTAAATGATATGATATTGATTTTAGAACATTGTTTAACACAATAAACATTAGATATCAAATTATAATTATATATTATATAACTGGGTACATTTGTAAGATAATGAAAATGGATTTGTATTAGTAGCAATCAAAGTAACCTCAGATGATAATATCTGATTTGAAACTGTGTAACATTATTAACTCAGAGAAGCATAACTCTTTCTATACATTTCTAACCAATCTAAAATTACGATGGACAAATGATTGATTGGTTGATTTAAGCTGATTAGTTATAAAAAACAAAACAAAACAGGATAGTGTCCAATAGAACTTTACAGACTATAAAGTGCCATCAATTGAAATTATTCCTTGAATCATTTCGACTCATATTGTTTTAATGGCAGTGTTCCGAAAAAGTGAAAGGACAACCGATGATATCCGGTAGATATGAAGAATTTATCAAAATGGAACTGGAGAACCATGATTGTATACTGATGATGTACATAGGTTTTACAGTTATGAAATAATGAATAGTTTAACAATCTTTGATCAATTATGTAATCAGAATGAGTATGGAAAAAAAAGCATTAAACTTCAGTTAAAACAAAAGTTCTGTTATATGTCTTGACGATAATATTGAATGGTAACTATTTGGATCCATTTATAGACTAATACTATGCCTGATCTATCAATTACTATCACATTCACAACTACTTTTGGTTAGATCTTGTACAAGTGTTGTTTCCTAATTTATGGTACGGTGTAGTCTGTTTGGTTGGTATATAAACCCAGTATATTTGAAATGAATGATTCATATCTCAGAGGCTGAGATTTATGTTCTGGACTTAACAGTTAGGACTCGGCGGGAAGCAGGATCTATAAAGACTCTAGACTGCTCGTATAGGTTTTGTCGACAATACATTGTTCTCCAATTGGCAGTATCATTATGTTATACAATAATAGGACACAGGGCAAAAGTTATAACAAGTTTATCTGTTAAAGTTACGACAATCATTGAAATATTGAAAAGAAACGAAGTAAAGTACTTGGAAATAACAAAAGATTATGGATATAATTCACTTTGGATGTATATGTTAACTATGCATCCTATTACATAAATATACGTTTACTGTCCAATAGCTACGCAAATTGAGGATATCAATTTTCAATTTATATAAATCCTATTGCATCCAAAATTCCTTCCATTTGTAGCACTATACTTACCTTATCTCCAATACCATTAATGAAACTACCTTGGATGTTCGTAAAAGTTATATTTCTTCAAGTGACTCATCATATCACATTTCATTGTTCATAGAACTAACTATTATTCGGTCTTTCTTATCCTCTCTCTGGACAAATGTCAGTAACTTTGAGAGACTATTCTTATTTAGAATTTTCTCAATCTTAACTTCCTTGTTAAAAATTATTGTATAGATGATTTTCACATATTCAGTTCATCAAAAATCACCCGAACAGGTAATCCGAAATGAAAAAGCACAACAGATAGATTACCAGATAATTACTCTTATTATTCACTCATGAGTTAGAAGCTATGACCAATGGAGTTAAACCATATCAAGTGTGAAACAGTTATCCTCATCAAGTAATGAATGAGTATTGAGCATTATCATGAATCAATTAAAATTAGACACATAAACTGTTAGATTATCAGTGAATGTTCTACAAGTTAATTATTCACATGTGAGATCGATGATCCTGGATTCGATTGCTCATGGTAGAATTGTGAATGTGCATTACTGATGAACTTTATACTAGAATGGAACAGCTATCCAGTAGTTCTAGGTTTCTATAATGATCTAAGTGAGATCAGTTCATGATTTAAATTATGAACATCTTACAGTTTCGACAAATCCTCCTATACTGATGACAACAATAGTAAAATGATTAGAAATTACAAAGTCTATATTTTTTAATTTTTTCGTAATCATTAATCAATGACCTTAATGAAATTCCATCACTTTTACTCTTGACTTGAATAATTTTACAGGTTAAAACTAATCACCAGAAATTCGACTGATACAATAATGAAACAATTGTCTGTTATCTAAAAGATCATTGGGACATGGTATTATGTTTGCCAAGGGATCAACGACCTTGATGTGTAAAGTTTAGTGATATAAGAATAGATCTATGAAGTCATTGATTGTAAGATAGAGCTATGTTGGTTGATGTAGCTTACCAATGGTTGAAGATGTTGGATGACACGACCCAGAATATGTCTTAATAATAAAAATGTATTCACGTCTTTTTCTTCTCTTAGATTTTGAGCTTTAAAATTACCGTAGAGTTTATATCGTGTGAAGACGTTCTTTCTCTCCGGTCATATTGTTTACACTAAATACTGATACTATTACATTTCTACTACTCTAGTATTCATTTTGATAGTTCCATTTTGCTATGTTAATGTGGCGTAGTAACTTGAATCTATGTGTATATGTGCCAAATTCTACATTTCTTAAGAGTTACTGTTTTACCAAGTAATAAGTATCGAATGTTTATCGACACTACTCTTAAACTAATTTGCATGTTAAGCATGTTATGAATATATATATACCGGAAATAAGAACTTACTCATTAGCGAACTAGCTGTCTTATCAGATATTTGTTTAACTGGATAGTGTTCACCACTTTGTGGTATCCATACTCTTGATAAACTTTCATGACCATCTAATAATCGACGTTTACGACTAGCTGAACGTTCAGGTAAACATGCACCACCATGTATTAATCTTCCTCGATTATCATATGCATAACCAATTCCTTCATAACCTTGATGATAATCACTTAAACCTTTGGACAAATGACTTTCTGTCATTCCTGTGCTATATATAGATTTTCTATCTAAACTATGTCCATGTGAAGATGATCTGTGTCGACGTTCAAGTTCTGCTTGAGCTTGTATTTGTATATTTGATAATCTAACTGGTGTAGCTGGAGAGAGTGTACGTTCCGATGGTACAGGATGATCACCGAACCATAAAGTATTCATTGAACTGGAACGATGTTTTGATGGGTGGGTACCAGTTAAACCACTTAGTGTTCGACGTTTTGTACTGATTATTAAACTGTGTTTTGAACCTTAGAAAAAACATATACGATTATAAAAAGTGTTTATTCGATTTACTTATATACTACCAACTAATGAAGTTGTTCAGTGTTCTGATAATCTTTAGCTAACTTTCACAAGTATAGTACATATAAACATGGCTCCTAAAACAGAAAGATATATAAAGCTGGTAGATATTCAAAACATTTCTCCCATGTAATAGAACCATTAGATGAATAATGCTAAAGTGAAGTGTATAGCTTGAGAGAGATATGATAATGTAAACATCAGTTACCTTACATAGTGGAAGCATTTACCATATCAAACTCGATGTATAAGGCCAACTGACTTAGGATTAAGTTGAAACAAAGTTAGGGGTTTGAAAACCAAGATACAGTATCGGTTCTTGGAATTATCGGTTATCAGTTTGAACTATGACTGTAGTTGTAGAATATCGAGTTGGAAATCGTAAGGTATTTGTAATGTATGACATTTACAGTATTGAACTTGGATGCATCAGTGATTTTTTTAGATCTTGAGTTTAGTGTCATTTATGATGCGCCTGTATTTCAACACCTTCAGCTGACTCTGAGAAGCCAGACCTATTATTTAAGAGGTAAAGGTTATACACCGGGCCAATCAGAAATCAGCCAAATGATAAGCACATGGGATTAGTCAAAAAGTAGTTTGAATTTATAGGGAAGAAAATATGCACCGCCGGTGGCTTAATTTTCCTGAGGGATATAGGTACATAGGAAAATTGCACGTCAGTATCATTATTGGACACAATGCATCACAACAATTCCATACTGTTTGTTCTTTATTTCTATTCTCTCCTTTTAAAATACCCTTCCTATATTTGGCCTTATACTATAATTATCACTTTTATTAATGTTAGATAGTGAATGGCAGTGGAATCCAGAATGTTCGCTTCTTCTCGTTCAAAACGTTTAATCAAATGTAGTTATTATTTATTTTATTATTTTAACACATAGATATCGGTACAACAAGGCACCAAATACATATGCGCCACGCAGATCTCATTTGATATGTGTGACAGCTGTGATACTGCTCGGGTGCCCAAACCGAAGCAGGTGGTTTGCTTAGGGGACCACAACCCGAGCCTTCGACCTGAAGATCTGATCCACAAGGCAGTGGAGCATCGTAAGGCGATGCAGTCCCATGGTAGCCGGTGACCAGGAAATTGGTTCATACGCCATTTGTTCCCGCAGGATACTGGAGCCCATGTGCACCATTGGTTTGGGGTCCGGTTATAGCGCCGGACATTCGCTTTTCGTCCTCTCATTTTCGTAAACAACACTCGTGACACGAGAAGGCATTGAGTAGGACTTCCCTGGCAGGGGCTGTATACGCGTGGTCATGTGAGAGCATTTCGAGAGGAGGAGCGGAGTCCTCCCACTCTCGGCCATACCAGGGCATTTGGGGGCAAATGTAGTTGCATACCAGTGTTGGCGTTCAGATTAGGACTTTATTCTAGTTGTTTGCATTTTAAACTCTAACACGTTATTCACTAAGCTACTAAGTCGAGAAAGTCAACAGTTGGTGAAACAGGTATCAATTTTATTCGTATGTGTTTGTAATTTTCTATCATCCATGATGATACTGATCAATAAACGTCAAGAACTGGAAAGTACAAACTCTTACGGATGCATCTGATGTTATTGTCTCCTCTGGTCGTCTTGCTACATGGTATGAAGTGTGTCAACTTAAAACTATGGACAATATTCTACCAGATATTACGTTGTCTATAAATGATCAACTATCTTGAGAGAATATTCAGATGGAATACTTAATTTTCGAAAAAAATTCTTCCTTTCAACAAAAACTTCATCCTAATTAATAAATCAGTACTTTATGTAAGCTTCTCATTGTTTAGTTAGTAAACGACAAACTTTGGTCTTCAAGAAGTAGCTGTATGATTAAGTCACTTCATAACTAACTATACAGTGTTATTTACTGAACAATTGTGCCCAAAAGACATAAATCTCTAGGTCTGGTTGTTGATACTCATCAGTAGGAAATAATATGAAGTTTCATGATTACTAGTGCTTCTTGTGTGGATCTTTAATCATTTAATTACTAATCAATATTGACATTGCTTCACTATAGCTTACTTTATTCAGTTAACTACTTCCAAATGCCCTGGTACGAATGAGAGTGGAGAGAGTCAGCTCTCCCTCTCGAAATGCTCTCAAATAACCACCTGCATACAACCACTAACAGGGAAGTCCTTCTTACTACCTTCTCAAGAAAAGGGTGTTGTTTAGAAAATTAAGAGGATGAAAAGTGAATATCCGGCGCTGGACACGGAGAGTCCACCTAGGGGAGTTGGAAAACCCTAATTCCAAACCAATGGTGTTCATAAGCTCCAGTATCCTGAAGGAACAAATGGTGTATGAACCAATTGTTGGTCACCAGGTACCATGAAAGTGCATCTCTAGACGTTACTCTACTGCCTTGTGGATTAAACGTTTAGGTCGAAGACTTCGAGTGTGGCCCCCTAAGAGAACCACCTGCTTCCCTTTGAGCACCAGGGGCAGTATCCCAGCCCTCACATAAATCGAATGATTTGTGTGGCGCATATGTATTTGATGCCACCTTGTACCAATGTTTATGGGTTTAAATAAAAATAAATAATAAATTCAGTTAACTAAACTTAATTATTCATGACAAATAATGGCAACAATCATTTGATTTTAGTTAGTAACAAAAGCATCTGACGTATGTTAATTCTCTTCATACAAACTAATGATAATGTATGTTAGTTGTATAAATACTGTAGTTGTACAGGTTATATTAGAAATGAATTTCAAATAGGCAAATCTGCTACAAGTTTCCATACAGAAACCGATTGATCAATGAAAACAGAAGAAAAGTAAGGGTGAGATGTTTCTCTTTTTTTTTCTTTTAAAAAATATAAGTCACACAGTGTTATGTCCCTACAAGCATAATGAATGGTAACTTTTAGGAACCATTTATGGAGCAATACTATACGTATATTTTTATTGTATAATTGTTATGTAATTCATATTCATGTCCCTCTTATCATAAGTTTTATTATGACCTATGCACTGTTATTATACGATTTATCATTCTTAACTTATGCCCAATCTATCAACTACTATCACTCATATTCACAGACACTTTTGACTAAATCTTGTAAAAATGTTACTTTCTATCTTGTGGTACGATGTAGTCTGTTTGTTTGGTGTATAAACCGAGTATGTTTGAAATGTATGGTTCATATCGCAAAAGTTGAGATTGGGGTTCTGGACTTAACAGTCGGGGCTAGGCAGAAAGCAGGACTGATAAGTACTCTAGACTACTCGTAGGGATTTTGAGCTTCATTGGTCCGATCGATAATTTACTGTTCTCTAATTGGAGGTATCATTACATATACATGAACAGGGTACACAGGTCACAAGTTATAACACAAAGTATCTTGTTAACTTAAAACAATTAATTTTCCATTCAAATCTAATTGAAGTTAGTTAACGGAAAATATAAAAATTAAAAAATTTACCAAACTCTCAAACAACCCTTTCAGTAAAAATTCATTTCATGTTTACTAGTGAGAAACATTAAGAGAAGTCATTAGAAGTCGGTCACTTAGTTACAATGTAGAACCAGGCACATATGTGCATCGGTTCAAGTTGCCATACTTCATTAGCACAACAAGATGAACACCGGATTCCTAGAAATAGTTAGTTCAGTGGTGGTAATATATAAAAGAAGGATTGCATGTAAGGATATAGTACGGGAAGAAATGAATATGGCTAGAAGATTTTGATCATGTCAGGTACGAAAGAATATAATATTATCAATGGGAATGGATGATAGTTCCACAATATCATGTATTTAATATAGTTTGAAGTTGAAAACTCACTGAGAAACCTGAAGATAATAGGTTTAATACTTAGTGGTTTCATGGATGCGTACTGATGAAGTGTCGTATAAACAGATGAAGAGAATACAGTATATCATGGGTTTCAATTGTTTTCTAGCTGAAATCAATCAGTGTTTAATTTCAAGAACTGTTCTGAATTATAAATTATTTGGTGAGACTATAACTTATGGACGACCTTTGAGCGACGATTAACTGACCTCGAGAGTGTCCACCTACTAACTAGGATTAAATGAGGGTTACAAAACAATGTGAGGAACTAGAATTATGACTACCAGTTGATAGTTAAGGTAAAGAATTAGATTTAGAGCTTTTCATCACGAACTGACATCAGCTATTATGTTAAAATGGATGAGTGAATTTCGCGCCAAAATCCGAGACCTATTATCTTAAATATGATTGGTTCGTCCATAAATTATAGTCTCTCCAATGATTTATTTAACTGATTTCTAAGGACTGATCCCACTAAAAAATCACTAAACAGTTGGGACACATAACTCAACGTCAGTTCAAACACAAAGCTTTGCTGCGAAACACATTTAATTTCTTTTTCTCCATTTAGATATCTATGTATGAATATGTTAGATGAAACCGAGATATTCATAGCTTTTAAATCACGAACCGATCTCACTTAGATCATTTTAGAAACCTAGAACTACTGGACAACTGTTCCATTCTAGTATAGAGTTCATCAGTAATGCACATTCACAATTCTACCATGAGCAATCGAATCCAGGATCATCGATCTCACATGTGAATAATTAACTTGTAGAACATTGACTGATAATTTCAATTGATTCATGATAATGCTCAACTCTCATCCATTACTTGATGAGGATAACTGTTTCACACTTGATATGGTTTAACTCCACTGGTCACAGTCTTAATGAAACTCTAGGAGTCGCAACTTGAAATTAGTTATGGATGCACACCGCTGATGAGTCACAACATACTAGGGGGAAATAGACATTCAGTTCTATCTGTTTTTCAATGATAGTTTATCTAAGATCGGTTCGTGATTTAGACTATGAAAAGTTTACAATCTTCTCAAAACGATGTACTGATGTTATGATGATCGTTGAAATATTAAGCATAACTTACTTGTATCATTCATCACTAAAATGATCAGCCAAGTAGCATATATATATGTATATATAGTGATTTACAACCGAATAAACAGATTCAAAGTCGTGTTTCAACTAGAGAACATTTTATTGTCAGGCTACACAATATGTTGATGAATATTAAGAGTAGTTTACTAAATGAATTTCATTGTTTACCTTGAACTATTCTTTGATTCATTAGGTCCAGATTTCAAAGAAAACGAAATATTTGGTTAAGTGAAATGGTTGATTAGTCTACATGTAGCAAGTGTACAATAGAAATTACTTCCAAAAATAGAACTAAACTCTGGTCTAACATCTAATTACTTGCTTGGAAGTTGTTCAAACACAAAGGAGCTTAGCCTTCAAACAACTGGTTGTTGGTTCGAATTAAGCTTAACATGCCTCAGTACACATGACTATCACAAATAAAGATTATAGCTAAAAGCCATGTGTATAAATGAATGTGTTTATATTCACTCTTACACATACTCTCTTTGATAAATCTTTCAGTTGAATGCTTGTTATTGACCTCTCAGCCACCTCCTATAGTCATAAACTATTACTACACTTAAGTTGATCAACAAAGAAAAGGTGATAAATATGAGCAACCGTTTTACTCCAAGGTTAATTGATGGACGAACAGTCGAGTGTGTTTATGGGTTTTCATATGACCTTTCTTTCCTAGAGACTTCTGGGAGCATATTGAATATGATAACAACATAAATAATTATACAATCCAAACGTAACAAATAATCTTTCTCTATGTTTCTGCGTAGCTTCTGTTTGATGATGATTGGATGGAACATTTTCAGACTGGACATTTATGAATTCCCAACACTATTTACGTACTTTTAATATTTTAGTCCAGATAGTGAAAATTCTTCTTTTAATTAAAAATTCGATCAGCCCATTAATTTGATTCCATAATTACTTACCAGTAACACCATAATAACCAGAACTTCGACTTGTTGCAGTTGTATGCTTAGAACGTGGTCGTGATATACGTTCTTGTGACATTCCATTTGAATGATCACGATCTAATCCTTTCATGTATTTACCTGTTTTATCATTATAATAAATACCATAAATATTTTCATAACCTGGAGTGGAAGGAATTGACATACCTTCAGGACTAATAAGACTATCACGAATTGATGTGATTGACTGTCCAGTTTTTTGTCCTTTTGACGGTTTTCTTAATTGTACAGGTGGATAATTATCTTCATTGGGCATTTGTAAATAAATAATGAATAAACAACTCAATAATAATTAAGTACCTGATAAATTTAGTTAATATTAGCATTTTATACAATAAATTCACTTGGTGTTGTTTTACTTGTATCTTCCGATTGTTATTTAGGACTGCAATTGATCAATCTCATGTTGGCATATATGCATCCTGTGCGGATTGCCTCGATATTGCCTTATGTCACAAGCTTTATAAGCAGAGATGGATAGTGGTTAGCAGTGGAATCTAGTTTGACACTCATTTAATCCTATTTGGGACTTGTCAGTTGGATGTACCTGCATCTCAGAGTTGATGTTCACTCTAGGACTCAAACCCAGTATTGTTCACTTTAAACGTCATCACGTTATTCACTTAGCTACAAGTAAAACAACACCAAATCAATTTAAACTTCACCCCATTGCACAAGCAGGACTCCACTGCTAGCCACTACCCATCTTTTATATAGTAGGTTTCCATTTAGAGAAAGGTCAAAATGTCAGAACATTTATGTTTTAATACTCATGTTTTGTGAAGAAAGCACTTATAATGACCATCTAGCGTAATAACAAATCATTCACGATCACATACAGAGGCTTACATTAAACCTTATATAACATTCATTTGGCAGACAACATTATGTATAACTTAGTCGGATCAGTATTTAAATAAAGTTGGTAAATAAACTGACTAGATAACCAACATTTAGACGATACTGATAAGTAAAGAGTGTAGTTGTAAACTGTAGCAAGGACTTTTCTATAGTTAACTAAATTTACCTTTAAAATATCTCAACTCATGAAGTCGATAACCCACCATACTGTCTAAATTTACCACCAAACACATAAAACCTAAAATTTGAATAAACACCCTTCTAATTATTGGAATGTGTCTCAAGTCAATCAGTTACTTACATATTCCACGATTATCCGATTTAGATACACAAATTTCAAATACGATTGCCCAACCCGTTATGAAAGTGGAAAGATTGAGAAATGACTAGGAATGGTAAATTGAATTATGTAACCAGTCTATTATCCAGTCTGATGTTAATGTAATTTATTGTAACGATGCAAAAAAAACATAGCGTATTTTAACTTCTTAGTACACCTTTATGGTATTTTTAATGAGTATTAATAATGCTTGAACATCTGGGGCTACCTGTTCTTGTCATCAGATGTCGACTCCTGAACTGCTAACTTCTAGATAGCGACCACTCAATATTTGTCATCAAGATCGATGAAGAAGTAAGAAATGAAAACTTATTAAAATACATTGTGCTGAGAATTATATATCGTACCAAAAATCTAATAGTGAAGAAAAGCTAATAATAATACAATCGACAATTCATTAGCTGTTAGTTTGGGCCCCTATAGGTAAAATCACATGATCAGTTGAAGATCCTCGAGATGACTACAATCATTGAATGACATGGCTTAAAATCAGTAAAAGTCGTGTCAATATATTCACTTTTTTATCTCCTTATAGATCTTGAGCCCCAGTATAATATCCTACTCTGTTTTTTCACACCATACTTTTCATGGTTAGTTAATCTCAACATCATTGGTTCTCAGAATTTATTTATTTATTTTAACACATAGGTATTGGTACAAGGAGTCACCAATTACATATGCGCCACACAAATCTCAATTGATTTGTGTGAGAGCTGTGATACTTCTCGGGTGCCCAAACCGAAGCAGGTGGTTTTCTTAGGGGGCCACACCCCGAGCCTTTGACCTGAACGTCTGATCCACAAGGCAGTGGAGCATCGTAAGGCGATGCAGTCCCATGGTAGCCGGTGACCAACGATTGGTTCATACGCCATTTGTTCCCGCAGGATACTGGAGCCCATGTGCACCATTGGTTTGGGATCCGGTTAAAGCGACGGACATTCGCTTTTCGTCCTCTCATTTTCGTAAACAACACCCCAGTTGAGAGAAGGCAGTGAGTAGGACTTCCGTGGCAGGGGCTATGTACGCGTGGCCATGTGAGAGCATTTCGAGAGGGAGAGCGGACTCTTCCCACTCTCCGCCGTACCAGGGCATTTGGGGGCTAGGTTCTAAGAATATTTCAACTCCTTTCTTATTCATCTCAAAATCGACTCCTTGTGTTAGTCTGATTTAACAGCTTGAATCAAATCAAATATGTAACAGAGTCTACGTTGATTATGGCTGACTGACTGTTATTTTTTTTCAAATAGTTACAGAATAATTTGTAAAATTTGACGCTATTGAGTTTCATAAATAACCAAAAATATTCCATATAAGTAATTGTGTAACTAAAAATATACATACTCGAAGGTTCTGGTTCAGATCGTCTCCTTGTTTGAGCTATTGTACGTAATGCTGGAGGTTTAAGTTCTTCATCTGATTCTCCTGAATCATCATAATCACTTTCATCCGATGTATATTGATCATAATAATCAGGCATTTGATCCGATATTCTATCACTTGTTCTAGGTTTACTTGGTTGAATAACTGTATCACCCAATCTAGGATCATAAGCACTATGAGGGCCGGAACGTTCACTTAAATCTTGCAGTGATCTCTTGTGTCTATTGTATGGTGGACGAATATCTGGTGGACCTGAACCAGGTACATTTACATAATAATTTTCATCAACTAAAAAAAATATCAAATCAGAAAATTACTTTTAAGCTCTGAGAAGTGTGAATTTACTTTTAGAGTTCTTAGATTTAATCATTTCATGTATATCATATTTATGATCATTGGTATGTATGATCTTTCATCAATTAACTAAATGCTGATTATGTCCTTCGGTTTATATGATAGATTATGCAGCCTATTACCTGGTTTAATAACAATAACGCTTTTCAGAAGGGGGTTTTATGGAGATTTCAATAAGTTCAGTTGTTGAGATCATGAGTCGATTGTAGCTAGACCACCATGAAAAACCTGGAAGCATTGGACGGCCTATTGTGGGACTCCTCAGCAGTGCACATTCATATAACTAGAAACCTTGATTAGTTTAAACAGAGCTATGCAGAAAGGTCTCAAATTAGAATAGAACGGATATTCAGTGATCTTTGATATTCAATGAATTCAGCAAATCTAACAGTATAATCAAGTGAACAGTCTACTGAAGAGGGTTAATTCTATTGAAGCTTTGACAAAACAACTGAGTTACGTGTAAACAAAAACAAGGGTTTTTGTTTGGAATATAGTGTGATTATTACAAAAATATATGCAAGATATTATAGACTTCAATTCTTGAGGCTTACAAAATCAAGGGAAAACGTCTCATGAAATATTCAAATAATGATTGTGCACAATACTATGTGAATTTAAACTTCACCCCATTGCACAAGCAAGTGACTATCAGGACTCAGTAGCTAAGTGGATAACGCGATGGCGTTTGAAGCGGACGGCGCTGGGTTCGAGTCCCAGAGTGAACACCAACTCTGAGATGCAGGTGCATCCAGCTGACGAGTCCCAAATAGGACGAAACGCGCGTCCTGGATTCCACTGCTAGCCACTATCCATTTTTACTTATAAACAATAATTTATTTTGAAAGAACATCAAGGTATTAAAAAATTACTAACCTGGAAGCATTCCATGACCTGATCTTCTATCTGGTTTTGGGCTTGGTTTATCGTCTAAACGTTTTGTTTGGTCATGATCAATAGGTTGAGGTGGCGGTGGATGACGATGTGGTTTGTCAGGTTCTACGTTTGAAATATACAAAGAAAGATAAATCTTGCCTAATTTATAACTCTCAACTCAATATGAGCTTGGATTATTACTCAAACTATGGCAATATTTTGATTATCATAAACTGATACTGACGTAAGATCAAATGAAAATGTAAGAAACACTGAAAAACTATTTCATCCTAGTTTGCAACTTCTATATCATTCATATTCATTTACAAGACTGAATTTAAGATGTTCTAGTCTCGTAGTGAGTAGAATGAGAGAAATATTTTCAAATAGTACGAATCCTTCCAAACACAACACCATGGTAAAATGGTAATCATATACTTATTGGTTAGTGAGATAAAGGTATAGTATAGGGAGGATTTGAACTCAGGGTCTTTAGCCTCACGCCCGAACGTTTATACTCTAGACCACTGAGCCGGCATCCAATGGTGTTAATGTCTAACCTCAACCAATCCACGAGATTGCACGATCATCTTCTGTAGTGAGGTAGATACTTGTCTCTACCTGACTCATTTGGATTAAGTACATAATGAAGATGAATATAAAAACAAAGACAATGTGCTCCTTTGATGTGGACACTTTATTTACAAATGTACCTCTTTGGAAAACTGTTGATATTTTATGTGACTATATCTCATTGAATAACCTTCCATTGACATTTCCTGTTAAATCTCTTAAAGATTTATTATGATTGTGTACTGACAATGTAAAATTCACTTTTAAGGGTGAGGACTTTCGACAAATCGATAGCGTAGCTATGAGTAACCCTTTAGGACCGTTGCTGGCTGATGTGTTTATGAGATGTTGAAAATCTAGCTGAAGACTCAATTCAAAAGATGTGTCTGTACAAACGGTACGTTGATGACATCATAATCATAGGGGATAAACGTGAAGATGTGAACCGCTTGTTAAAAGAACTTAACACAAGTCAAAAGCATATTTCTCTTACATATGAAAAAGAGAAGAATAACAAACTTCCTTCTCTAGACGTACTGACTAGTTGGAGAGATGACGGCTTCATTCAATGTTCTGTATATAGAAATCCGACATGAACAGGGCAACACTTTCCATAGTCATTGCCCAATTCATTACAAGCTTGGATTAATAAAGGGCTTATTCAATAGAATCAATCATATTTGTACTAGCGATAGTACTGAAGCTGAGACGAAGCTCATGATTGAAACGTTAATGAACAATGGTTATTCATTGAAGTTTATAAACGGCAGGAAGGGTTGCAATATGATTAGACCTATGACGCTTCTGGCACCCAAAAAACGAGTTTACATGATGTTACCATTTAGAGGTTACTCAAATAGTCCCATGTTGAAACGGAGATTAAAATTAGCCATCAACAGGACATTTTATGCAGCCCAAATCGTCATTATTGAAAAGATGGCGTCCATGTTTCACCAAAAACCCAAACAGCACATGCCACTGTGTCTATCAATCTACATATACGTGCAGAACATGTACATAGGGAGGAGCAATTAAGGGTGGTGGAACATATACCCAAATGGCTGCAGAAACAAATGAATTCCAATGGTTAAATAAGTTCACAGGATAGACAGACATCTTCTTCCATTACGAAACATTTAGTTAAGATTGGTCATAAGGTCAATATCAAGTCAGCATTTGTAGTGTTATACAAAAGCCTTCAAGGACGTAATAGTACGGAAACTGAAACCCCCTTTATGTATTCAAAAACAATTTTTTTTTACCTTTAACCTACCCTGGTAATACTGATTTATTATCCAGAGTGGTTATCACCTTGTTTTTGTGTACTTTATTTATTTGTCTAGTTGACCTTTTAGTTTTCATATTGAAATGTCTTTACAAGTATATACCGTGTGATCAGATTGTTCGAAATATATTTCGCAAATATATCATCATAACCCTCGTCTTCCTATTGGATTATCGAAATTTATCAATGGGGCTAATTGTCTTAAATGTAGAATATATTACAGATTGACAATTATCAGTTTAGGGGTTGTGGAGATAGTTAAGTTTTTGATTGAAGTCATGAACCGGTTGATATTAGATCACCATTAAAAACCTGGAAGCAATGGATAGCCGTTTCGTCCTATTATGCTCATCCACGATCCATTTCATAATATTATAATCGTGCTTACTGAGGAATTGACACAGATAAATTCTGATAAGTTCTGATAAGAATAAGTAATCTACAAAGTTCAAATATGTCAGAAGGGAAACAGTTGCTATTTATAACATAACCGCTTCTTAGTACATTTCATCAAGTGGATTAAAATAGTACTATTCAATTAAAATCTAATAGTCAGTAATTTCTATACTCAACATGTGGATTAATCAAGTTCATATCATCTGAGATAAAGTTACCCGATTATCAGATGTAACGGACTAATCGAGTTATCATTTTCTATTTAAAAATACCCCACAAAATGTAATCACCAACTATTAATAAGTAATTATGCTATGATGGGAAGATAAGTCAAAATTCTATTGATTTACTCATTATGAGTTTTGGTTCAACATTATTTCTGTTTTGATTCAATGTAATGATTACTCAATGTAGTAATGGGTTTTCTTTTCTCGTATGATATTTTATTCTGTATAATCTACGATATTCTTGTATCCAATTAACATGAACTATACTCATCATATGATTTGTTATAACTCGAAGTATTTATCATAAATGTGATTTCATCCTAATTAGTAATCAAAATATGTGTACAATCAATATATAAATGAGTGTATTCTCGACTAGGATCATCGTGGTGGTGGTCGTGTTTTGGGTTTAATAAATCTTCACTTATACCAGTCTTTGCGTTTTTACTTTCGCGTCTTGGGAATCGCAGAGGTCCCTTGTTCCGAGTGATGAGCGTTTCCGACGTAACAATCATCGACGACCTAAACAAAGCAGCATTCAACTGACAAGTTATAACAATCGGCGACGGGGATGGGATTTGAACCCACGATAGGGCATGTCTCTCTGAAATGGACATTTCCGAACCACTGGGCTGATCATGAATGACTCCTACTACTTCGTTTATATTACCGCTTATCAAGGATTCACAAAGGCTTTCATCGACACATTCATAAGTGCTGCAGTCATTTTTCATCTCTGTATGCAAATTAGAAATGAATTTATCAATTTTGTCACATCTTCAAAACATGGATGATTTAGCAGCCGTGTGCGTAAAATGTCTAAAACATTCAACTGGCTCTTTTTGAAACTCTGCTGTTGTCGCTCAAATAGCAACTGTAAATGATCGGGAGAGATAGCCATTTCTTGAATCAGCACGGTAATGAAAAATACTGTATGTTTAATTAACAATCAATGTCGTTCAAGGACACCGGTGAGAACCCTGTATGCTGATTGCTCGAAATAATTACACTGAATTTTGTTCAACTACAGGCTGACCTTGATTCGTTAATTTGAAGATTGAGGGTTCAGAATTGTTGGTCGTCGCTGATTGTTATGTCGGAAACACTTATCATTTATACTCGGAACAAGAGATCTCTGTAATCCCCACGACGCGAAAGTAAGAACACAAAGACTGGTATAAATGAAGATTTTTTAGCCTCAAAACAAGCAGCATTCAACTGACAAGTTATAACAAATTACTCAATATAATGATTAAGGTGACTTAATTTGTATGAAATTATAATGTGTGAATTAATTCAGTCTGATTATATTCCTCAAAGCATAATTAATTTAAATAACATAAACTAACCAGTTTTTCTATAGGGTGTTTTTTCACCCGGTTACAAACATTTATTGATCAACAGAATTCATTTAATAAAATGGATTAGCCTAACATTACGTTGGTTAAAAATTATACATGATGAAAATGTCAACCTTTGTGTATGTGTATCTGTGTACTTAGATTTAGCCATATGTCTAATATAAATCTATTTGTGGATGGGACATTGTGTCTAAAGACTTAAATTTACAAATACTAATCGTAGGACTAGTTATTAAAGTTCAACGGTTAAATGTTTGTCTCTTATCAGGTTTCAACCAATAATTGGCAAACGACCTACGAAATAGACTTATCATAACTCATTTTCTAATCTTATTCTAATTTCAAAGGAATTAGCAAGAATCTATTAGCACAATTTATTAATTAAGCGTTCTTCGTGGACATATATCTGTGGGGTAGTGATTCTAATTGCAATTGTCTAAGTTAAAATAGGTGAATTATAGTTAAAACTTGTAACCAAATGGTTGAAAGTTGAATGGTCTCAGGATTAAATCATCCTTAAATGTTTTACTCAAGTTACTTTAGAAGAGTAAGTAAAATTGATTTTCAATCTATCATCTAGACAGTGAATATATTTTGATTTCGAGTAGTTGAAATAGTTAAGGAGGAAACTATGGTACCAGTTAGCAAGGCGTAACTTCAGTTTTGAGATAAATGAAACTTTTTGTAGGATGAGAATCTGCCACACAACATCGAAATCTGAGAAATTATCACTTGAATAATGGGATAATTGAATACAATTGAATGAATTATTTGTTTAATATCCTATCTATATTTTAACGATAATCATCATCAATTGAGAATCATTGCAAATAGAAGAACTGAACAGTTAGTTTGTGATACAATGCAATTTACATCTAGTGTCAATGATGATCAACCATCACAGAATCAACTTGGTTAATTCTTCAAATCACATTTTCCTAAAGAGATTTCAGTAAGTTTTATCTCCGTCCGAGTCATTAGTGTACACAAGTCATTACGATAATTACCCTTACCAGATAATCTCATTTGATGAATATAATCTAGTCCGACATGGTCAAACTTTAATATGACTATAATGTTTTACTTGCCTACATTGGACTTTGAGAGTTTACTGATCTATTATCTAATTTACATAAAAAAAGTATGTGTTTATAGTATGACGATTCAATTGATGTGCTAATAATAATCTTGAAATATGCGATCTAAGTGATTATGTATTTTGTATTAGAGTTCAAGTACCTTTGAATTCATGTTCAAGTTAGTACATTGTCAGGTATCAGATATAATGATAAGAAAGTAACAATTGATTTTTACTGTAACAGAAAATGATATGATTATAAAATGTGTCATAAAAATACATTTCCTAAACTAATAATTGTTAAGCGCTTACGCGCAAGACTGATAGGTCCTGGATTTGAATCTCGTGAGGTGGGATCCTGGATGCACATTACTGAGGAGCCTCACAATGGGACGAAACGGTTGTCCAGTGGTTCCAGGTTTTTCATGGTGTTCTAGCTTCAATTGACTCATAAATTCAACCATTGAAAATTACTATAATATCCACGAAATCCCTTCTGATACTTATTAGTAAATGGATTATAAATAGGATGATCAGCTATTTGAACAACTTATACACTATTGATTTTCCTTTAACTAGGAACAACTGAATCTTCTCTATTAGAAAATTACACATAGAAATAAACAACTCCATGGAAATTAACTGATGTAAATTTTTACTAGATGTTAAAAACAAACCAAGATCTAAATTCCTCAATACATTGAGTTTGTTTCTAAGATAAAGTATCTTGTGTATATGAATTTAATCTGTAAAAGGTATTTGTCAAGAACATAAATTGAATTATTGAAAACCAGCAAATACAGGACAACTTTTTCATTCTAATACAGAACTCTTCAACAGTACATGCCGACGACCCCTGAACCTCTATGTATAGTGACGAAGACTCCTTGGGTTTTAATTGATCTCAAACGAGATTAATCTACAGTTACTTTTTTCTGCTTATTAACATCTCAATCAGTCAGTCAGCTACAACGTAGGACCAGGTACATATATGCATTGGTCCAAGTTGCCATACTTCATTAGCACAACAAGATGAACACCGGATTCATAGAAGTAGTTAATTCAGTGGTGGTGGTGGTGGTGGTGGTAATATGTTAAGGAAAGTTTGCATATAAGGATATAATACAGGAAGAAAGAATTAGTTCGTAAAAAGAAACATATGAAGCGATTTTAATCTCATAGTTTAAGGGAAGACAGAGAGTGTATACACCTACGCCATTGTGATAGATTCTATGCCATGTCACACACAGTCTCCAACCATAGGTTATAATACTCACACGGATCCCAACTAAGTAGTCTGCATCTACCAGCATGGCTCAGATTACAAATTAATGACTTCAAGTACTGATGCCACGTTTTGCCGTGGCCACCTCTAATTTCATTCTAATCATCCCCAACACTAGTCAGCATTGCACGTCGCGGTAATCGGTGTTCAGGCATACGTAACACGTGGTCCAACCATCTCAGTCGATGAAGATTCACAACCTCATCAACTGATTTACCATCGTTCCCTAGCCTCACTATTACTTACCCGGTGATCCCAGTAGATGCGAGCAATGTTTCTAAGGCATCTGTGGTCAAATATTAGTAGCTTACGAATATCATCAACCCTTAATGACCGCGTTTTGCAACCGTAAAATAAAAGAGAACAAACTGCCAAGCAGTATACTCGTCCTTTTATTGATAGACGGACATCTCGCCTTCGCCATTATCTACCTTGATTACTAGTTAGATTCTGGGTAAACATTTCACTGAGAACAATCTACAATTGAGATTAATCAGTAATTTTTTGTACGAAACTCAGGTTACTGAAGTTATAAAAAATAGAATACAATTGATTTACTAAAACATTGGATCGATCCCCAACTGAAATGAACATCAGTCTTGAGCACGAGCACTCAACCATTAGACCACTGAGCTAGCCGGCATCCAACGGTGTTAATGTCTAACTTCAACCAATCCACAAAATTGAACGACACATCCACCATTGTCTACAGTAAGTCACTATCTCACAACAGACTCAGTTGAACTCCACTGGTCAATGCTTCTCATTAGAACTCCAGGAAATACCTCTTCAAGCCAATCACCAGTGAGCACATGTTGATTTATATCAGAAGGGTATTTTTGTGGATATTCTAGTAATTTCAATGGTTGAGATCATGAGTCAATTGAAGTCAATAGATCATCCAAAATGGTGGTGGTGGGTACTTAGAGGATCCTCACTACTTTAACTTGGATTGAAGCTTAAAAATAAACACGAAATATCAGTTTTGACCTATTTAAGACTAATTCATAAGATGTATCTATATTTATAAAACTACTGGTAACCTCAATCATCCCTGTATTCTTTCTAGTGGTATAGGATTCTTCAGTCACATCTTAATTACCAATATCCCATGTAATATTTCCCAACTTAATAGATGTATGATAAAACCCTTGAATAAGTACAATTGAAATAATGTTTAGCATACACTATGGATACAGTAAATTGGCTATGGTTTTATGAAGGAGTAGCCTGGCCATAGTGTGTTGACTAGTATGGAAGTTGAAAAAAAGGGCTAGGGCAGATAAACTGTGATAACAAACCATGAAGTAACTAACTTATATTATCTGAGCTAGATAGGTAGATTATAATCTACAACGTGTGATAGAATATTAACCTAAATGTTTATTTCCTATAGGATGTCATTTAAGGTGTGAATATCTTAGTCATATTACAAAACAGTTTAGTAACATTTTGTACAATATGGAGTTCATCGTTTCTTTTGTTAATAAAGATTATTTTGATTGTCATGTATCAACTCTCACAGAACCATGTATCAAGGTTACACATCTATTCGCTCCAATCACCCAACGCAAAATAAGTAACATAATAGTAATAATAATAATAATAATTGTAATACGTATGTAGGCAAAAATTATCAGCTCACTTTTATCCTTATACTTGTCATAATGTTTAATTGGTGGTTGTTTTCGAGCGGAACCTTGACTCGTTTTACCATAAAGACTGCTATCATAAGATAATTCTGATGTAAAATCTATAATTGGTTTCTGTTTTTCTGCTTCAGCTAAATAATTATATTCATCTGGATGTTGAAGTATACCATAATTAAACTGTGTAGTTGGTTTCCTGGGATCCAATGGCATTAGTTCTCCATTTGCATTTTTGAATTCGTCGTCGTATACCTTTTGTTGTCGTTTTCTTTTCTCTGGATCATCATCACGATTTTTTAATGAATGTCTGGTGGGAGTTAATGGAGTACCTATGTGAAAAAAAACCCAAAAAGAATCAAAGGTGTGCTATTGATGCATACATAAAGGATCTGTTTTAATTTCATAACTTTACAAGACAGTAACAAACGTTCTTATCTACATGATAAATAAACACACTTGAAAATTTCGATGACCTTCTTTATAGTGGACAATCTTTATAATAAAACTAGAAAGAAAATTTCCCACAGTCCAAATAGTGAGCCTTATGTAGATTTGTGGATGGGATTTAACCACAACTAGGTACTATCATTGACATGCTATAAATGACAATGCTATATCGTGTGAATTAAAGTTTAGTGTATGTTAAATGAAAGAATAGGGTGAAAAGTTAACTGACAACATATTTTCACAGTTTAGATCACAAACTAGTCTTAGCTAGACCACCACCTAGCGGCTAGAGACAGCCGTTTTGTCCTAGCATGGGACTCGTCAGCAGTAAGCACCACCTCAGAACATTCGACCTCAAGCATGAACGCTTAACCTCTTGAGCTAGCATCTAACGGTGTTACTGTCTAACTTCAATCAATTCATGATATTGTGCAACCCTCATTCATAGTCTGGAAGAAAACTGATGTCCAGTGCTTACAGGTTTTTAACGGTGGTTTAACCAAGATAAGTTCGTGATTTAGACTGGAAATGCTACAATCTTCACAATTCCTCTATACTAATAACAGCATATTGTTTGTTTGTTTTTTTTATTTAAATCCTGAAACAACTGATACGGCTAAAGGAATTCGAGCCTTCATCACACAATATCATTGACAGAGAGCCAATAAATTCTTTGTTGTTCACAAGTAGCACTGAGATGTTTGCACTGATTGATTATGGAATATTAAGGAATGGGGTAGGTTCAAATTCGTAATTTTGTGGTCACAATCCGACATGTTTTACCGTACATGAAGAATGAAGGAAAGGGTATTTGAAACACAATAAAATGCTTTATAAATAACATGTGATTGATAATTGATATAATGGTATAAAAAGATCTTAATTAGCTCAATACTTTCTCACGTTCATTATGAATTTTGGTCAATGTTACAGATGTGACGTTTGTCCAGTGTGACCGCTTTTACTATGTGTTTTAATAGTACCCACCTCCTATGCAGTGATACTAAGTAGGTGTAAAAATTATTGAATTTTGATTTAAGGACTATGTAACTTTTGGACTTGTTTAGGGACATGTTCTTGGGTAGCCAATACATCTTCATCGCATGAGTCTTTCATGTTCTTACTTTGAGTCGTGAGAATTGCAGTCGTTCCTATTTCTAAATATAATCAGTAACACTGAAGTCCCTTAGATAACAAAAGTGATATTTTGGTTCGTTTAAGGAAGTGAACTATTGAGACTATAGAAATCTAATTGCCTAAATAAATGTTTTTGAATCTTGTTATCATGTTTACGCTTAGTATTAATATTTGAAACAAGGAATCACCATCATAATCACTTATCAATGTAAGAACATGAAAGTCTGGTACAATCGAAGATTTATTCACCCCCAAAAACACAACGACCAACTTTTGTCAAAAATACACTCACATTTATCGATTGATTTGTACACCTATTTGATTATTAATTAGGAAAGAAGTTATGTATATGAAAAATGACCAGAATTATGATAAATTACATACTGTATTCCATGGTAAATGTAATTCATGTTAATTTTATGCAAAGAATACCATACATTGAATACAATAGTACACTCAAAATATATAAAAAAAAAAGATACAACATTGAGTAATTAATGTTGTACAAGAATGTGATTTTGTCCTTTCATCCCATCATGTCAAATCTGGAAGCTTGTAGTGACCTATTTTTGTCAACAGAACACGATTGGTTCAATGAAAACAAATATTATTATAACCAATTGTACCAGTGACTGTTTTACTGTGCTCGTTTGTTTAACTATGCTAATGACAACCATTACACTCACTTACTCTCCCGTTGACTTTGAACTTGTACGAATTCGGTTACGCTTAGTAACCACGCTTGTACTCCTTTGGCACGATCTCGGTATTCTTTCGATACCACGAGATCGCCAACAAATACATCTCGGCTAAAGCCATCATCTGCCTTTTGATATTGGCCTACGGGGATCTTATTGGTTAATTGGCATGTAGTTTTCTTGTAGTGGTGTTCATAATCAAGCGCGATTCGACACCACGCTACAAGCTCATGAATCTACTATATGGGGTAGAACAAAAGGCACATATAACTATAAAATAATTTTTATCGCCATCTCAGAAATAACCATGTCTTGAGCAAATCAAAAAGCAAAGTAATCACCGACACTGAAGAACAGCGAAACAAGTAGACAGAGCACTTTAAGGAACTCTTGAATAGATCAGTTCCATTGAAACTACCCAACATCGAAGAAACACCCACAGACCTCCCAATCAAAGGAGAAGAGGAAAATCAAAGAACACAGATATGAGAAGAGTGAACAACAATTAGATATAACTAGAAAGGAAGGCCCAGGACAGAGTGGGTTGCAGAACTATGGTCGGCGGCCTAGGTTATATTGGGAGTAACAGGTGTTAGTAAGTAAGCTGTAAATAATATTGAATCTACTTGTAATCGTAGTAAAAACAAGGTTAGATCCAATATTTCAACAAAAAAAAGATTATTTGTGAGAAACTAGTTTTCTTACTATAACCATTAACTATGCCGATTGATAAAGTACTTTCCACTGAACACACAAATGTTGCAAATTAATGTCTTGGAATGGACGAAGCGTAATTTTGGCAGTAAAGTTACCAACCACTGTGTATATCTTAGATTAACCGAAAACCCTCTCAATACATGCTAAGATGAGATTATGGTCATTGTGCCTGAAGTGGCAGAAACACCACTGACATATGGTCAGTTTTTTCACTGCATGTGACCCATCTCTACGTAGACAAAACATAAGGTTTAATCGATTGAGATAGAAAATTCAGTCAATCACGATAAGCTGCTCAAGGTTATTTGGTTACGGTCAGAATGTTGATTGGTTGATTTGAATTGAGCCAATAGCTTGTATCGAGAGTTAGACATATGTGTATGGCTGGCCACGCTTTCAATGGTTTTCCCCCGTACGAATGAAGTGTTTAAATATAGAGGACGCATTGATCTCATCGTTATAAGTTACTTGGATCTGCGGGCGTTTTGTAGTCTTCTGTTTGAACAAATATGTTATTACCAAATCAGCCTGCTCCTAATTTTGAAGGTACTGCTGTTGTTGGCACGGAATTGCGTCCAATTAGTTTGAGTCAATTTCAAGGAAAATATGTGTTACTGGTATTTTATCCACTTGACTTGTAAGTCAAATATATTGTTCATTTCTCAACAATTTTATGATATTTCACATAATTAAATTAACACTCATATTTTCCTTTCAGCACTTTTGTTTGTCCAACGGAATTAATTGCATTCAGTGAAAGAGCTGCTGAGTTCCAATCTAGAGAATGTCAAGTAATCGCATGCTCAACTGACTCAGCCTATGCTCATTTGGCATGGACGAAATTGGATCGCAAAGCTGGTGGTTTGGGGCAAATGAATATACCTTTGCTGTCCGATAAAAACTTAAGGATATCACGAGCGTACGAGGTTCTTGACGAACAGGAAGGTCATGCATTCAGGTTGGTTTTGTTAATTCATGAACACATCTCTGCTATATTTATCATATTGCAAGTGTCACACAAGGGTGTTATCCTATTACAAAAGTCTAACATCGTGTCTTACTAAGTAGTGTTGATAAGCCTCGAATTTCTAACACCGAATATTGTATACAACTCAGTAGTTAAACCATACTATTTATTCAGTTGGTACGTGAAGAGCTATTCATTCAACTAGGTATTAGTTGACTACATAGGTCAACATAATGTTGGCTGCACTTGTAGTAGTAACTTATTTGCATAATTAATTAGTTAGTTACTTCTCACTTAGATTTCTCGATACCTTTCGAGACAGTTATCGAGAGTTTTTGTTGAACAAAGTAGTTTTCTGACCTTCTAATCACTTGGTAAGTCATGAAAAGTAGTCGATGGTTTCGCATTATTCTCATCCAGACGGTACTTGTATAAAGACGAGCCATATCTTGAGTTACTTCTTAGTCTGTGCCCATAAACTGATCCCGCATTTCTTTGTTTGTTTTTAGGGGTATGTTCCTCATTGACCGCAATGGGATTTTACGTCAAATTACTGTTAACGATCGCCCTGTAGGGAGATCAGTTGATGAGGCGATTCGTCTTTTGGATGCTTTTATTTTCTTTGAGAAGCATGGCGAAGTTTGCCCAGCGAACTGGAAACCAAATTCAGCAACAATAGTACCCGATCCTGTTGCTTCTCTCTCCTACTTCTCGTCTGTGCACTGAGGTTTTTTGTATTGATATCATATTTTAGTAAACATTAATAAACAGTTTTTGTCATGTTTCAATGGTTTTTGTGTGGGATGCAATATATGCGTAGAACGTTGCACTATCTGCCGGGAATAACAGGGAAGCTTTCGTCGGATTCTTGTTGGGCGTGGTATTTTTTCTATTATATGTTAACTTGTTTGCTTTGATGTAGTAATGATAATGGCGTGTGTAGTGAGTTGGCACCATTTGTCCACGGATGGGAACTGAGCATATAGGTCTTTGACGGGCTTCATTATGTTGTGTTTCACCTCTTTCCACTCGACCTCAGGGTGTGGCGACTAAGTATGTGACGTCAGCGCGTCTGGTCGGTTCGTAATGACTTCACAAAAAACCGTGAAACGTTGAAGGTGTCTGATGACTTACCTCAACCGGCTATGATATTTAGTTCAGGTTGCTGCTATGTTGGTTCAACTTGTTATAAGCTTCCAAAAATCACGTTTATGCCACGATTAGTATGAGTAAGCTCTAATTATTCATGGCGAAACTCCACAAACATCCTCTGTGCAGATTATGTTGTATTTATCGCACTCCTAACCATTTCATTTTTTGTAGAGTTTGCTTCGAAGTAAGCACCTCACGTTTAGAACGTAAGAGACTCATTTGTATTATCCCTGAATGTGCTTGGGAGAAAGTAGTTGGTGAGTAACATCAAGCCCCGGATTTTTACTGTCTTCCAATATTATACTAAATAGGTGTTTCTTGACACTTAGATCATCGACTGGCAGCCTAAAGTACTGTAGTCGGGAAGGGTTTTTCTGGTAGCTTTCTTTACTTAGTAGCTCCGTGCTTGCGACCACTATTCTACTTCGGGTTAGGCGATGGCTAAATATACCTTTGTTGATGGAGGTTGTTAGTTCCACTGGTCAGTATTTCATATTCTAATAACCTACGACTAACCTCATTATTTCTATTCCAATATAAAGTTAAATTCCAATTTTACTCATAACTGGTGACTACTAAGTATGTATAAGCAACCACTAGGAACTAGAAGTGCACCGGATAGCTGTTGAGACCTAGTACAAAACTTTCACAATGCACACATACAACACTACAGGGGATTGAACTTCAGGCCTTTAGCCGAGAGCTTAACTCCCAGATCGTTGGGTTGAGACCCAGTAGTTTACATCCTCAACTCCGGTTGATTTGTGATATTGCACAACTATAGTCCATTCCTATTAACGATGCTTGTTTCATGCCTGATGTGTTTTAATGATGTTAGGAATCATAGCAACTATGTCAACTCGATGATCGGGAGGTTGAGCTCAGGCCTCCAATCGTGAGTGCCCTGAGTTCACATTAGAACGAAACAACTATCCGATCTTTTCTGGTTTCCACTAGTTGTCCAACTAACGGCAGTCCGCAATTTGTGACTATGCAGACGAGCACTAGTGTTACTGTCGCAGAAATAGTTCACCAAACTTGAATTCTATATTTATTTCACATCGAGATGATAGTAAAAACAGTATTGTTTATTAAACAATATTGTTTTCAGAGATCAGGATGTCGTTTATATTATGGAGATAATCAACTCAGCTTTTCTATGAACTGATTTTCAGACTTACCAGCTTTAGAACTATCTGAAATTCGAGGTCGGCTAACGACCCCGTCACGTGGATAGTGTATATCTACTTTCGAGGTTGGAGAAAGAGGCGGTGGAGGATGGCGTCTATGACCTGGAAGTTCATCGGTCACTTTACTCCGTGTTTCTGTTGTAGTCAAATGACGATTACCTCGATCGACTGAAACGTATAAATATTAGGGAAAAATGATATAGTGAAATTGTGAAGTTATAATAATATGTGATTTATTCATCTAGACTTACATTTAAGAACAGATGTTGATTTTCCTATTTATATGATGATGATAACATTGTGTTATGTTATGCAACATTTACTTTGGATTAAATGTTTTGGTTACTAGTCAAACTACAAGTCCATTGATTTAGCTAAGTTTCAAAAGTAGAGACAATCCTAGGGATCATTACTCTGTTGGATATTATTTGATTAATCTTTCGAGTTTTAGATAAATTTTATATATGATCAACATAAGTTGGAATACCATTGTAAACTACAGAGAGTTGAACACCTGTTTCATTCTAAACTCTAGCAGTGATCACTCATGAGGGATCAAACCCAAGACATTCAGTTGTCTTATTGAGCGTTTAATCTGCAAATAATTGGATCGAAATCCACCTTCCTATCTCTTCTTAGAACTCAAATAAAAACTGAATTTGCTTATCTGTTAGTTAATAATGTTGTTGTTGCTTAAATTACCTGGTTCTGTTCTAGTATTTGTAAATTAGTTAGTCCGTAAATTAATAATGTATAAAATAGCTTTTAGTATAAAATGTATGCTACTTCTGTGTATGATGCATAGTTAAAACATTAGCTTATGTATTTTCTCTCATCTCTTCCATATCCTCTTACCAATTAAGTAAATAACCTTATCGGGACACTATTAGTACAACTATAGACCATGTTCAAATGAAAAGAAACCAAAATTAAATAGTGGTATAATTTAGTCCGATGGTTCGTAGAGATTAGCTCAGTTTGACTGAAGTTAAAGATGTTGGTCACCGAGTTTTGTCTCACAGGTTTTAAGCTATTATGTTTACTCAGAAAACTGAAGTTCTTGTGCAGGATCATAGGTGAAGACTCTCAAACACTAGAATGAAACAAGTGTTTAATGCTGCGTGACTTCTAAAGGTTCTTCGATTGGTATGTCAATCACAAGTAAAGTAAGACCTGGCATATATATATATGAGGTGAGTGAAGCTGTAAAATGTGAATCGTTTAGTAATAACTCATTTGTTTTCCAATAATGCGCCCTCCTTGAGACTGAGCGGCTTTAGTACATTCACTTCTACGTGGACATTGTTGCTGCGTACTATTGACAGAGATCCGAGCAGCTATCATTTTTACAATAAACTGTAATTTATGATTATGTTAAATATTTGATAAAATATCTCATTATCTCTTATTAAATTACCTGCATATACGAAGGAAATAGAAAATTAATTTCGATATTTGGACTCTAAATAATTGAAGGACATTTTCTTAGTCAAATCATAAAAGTCTGATACTCTACCGACTGAGCTAACCGAGCCCCCAAATGCCCTGGTACGGCCGAGAACGGAAAGAGTCCTCCCTCCCTCTTGAAATGCTCTCACATGGCCATATGCATACAACCACTACCAGGGAAGTCCTACTCACTGCCTTCTCGTGGCGGGGTGTTGTTTACGAAATTGAGAGGATGAAAAGTGAATGTGCAATGTTTTAACCGGGTTAGTGGTGGTTTTTGACTGAGAATAATTACCATCTAATGTTTCAAACTTATACTGATTAAAAAGTAAGGATTACTTGGAGGTTTTGGTAACACGGAATAATTCAAACCCTTAATAATAGTGATGTATACAATATAATCGTTGAGAAAGTTTCTAGGTATCTGGACTCAGAAACCCAATAAATAACAGGTTGTCATTCAAAGCCAAAGGTGTTAGGATCAAGTCCTCATGTTAATATGAACCGTAGGATGTAGATATATTCAAGTGACAAGTTTTAAATAGGACAAATATTCCATTCTAAATCTCACTTCTATCCTGAATTTATTTATTCTAAAATACTTGAGAAGATTATTGATAACATTTTATGAAGAACAATAGAAGTCCAAAGAAATTCTCTTACATTTAATCGATAACAGAGTGTACAGATATAAATAAGAATTTCTTATGTTTAGTCTACATCATTTTGATTTTGTAGAAAGGTTATACTTTTATGTATTTATAATAGTGCACCCAAATGCCCTGGTACGGCCGAGAGTGGGGAGAGTCCGCTGTCCCTCTCGAAATGCTTTCGCATGGCCACGCGTATATAGCCTCTGCCAGGGAAGTCCTACTCACTGCCTTCTCGCATCACGAGTGTTGTTTACGAAAATGAGAGGACGAAAAGCGAATGTCCGGCGCTTTAACCGGATCCCAAACCAATGGTGCACATGGGCTGGCTCCAGTATCCTGAAGGAACAAATGGCGTATGGACCAATGACTGGTCACCGGCTACCATGGGTCTGCATCTCCTTACGATGCTCCACTGCCTTGTGGGTCAAACCTTTAGGGCAAAGGCTCGGGGTATGGTCCCCTAAGAAAACCACCTGCTTCGGTTTGGGCATCCGAGCAGTATCACAGCCTTCACACATATCAAATGAGATTTGTGTGGCGCATATGTATTTGGTGCCTCGTTGTACCAATATCTATGTGTTAAAATAAATATAAATAAATAAATAATTTACAATAGTTGCATGATATAATTCTAGGATGATCTCATTTATTTTAACACATAGATATTGGTACAAGGAGGCACCAAATACATATGCGCCACACAAATCTCAATTGATTTGTGTGAGGGCTGTGATACTTCTCGGGTGCCCAAACCGAAGCAGGTGGTTTGCTTAGGGGACCACACCCCGAGCCTTCGACCTGAACGTCTGACCAACAAGGCAGTGAAGCATCGTAAGGAGATGCAGTCCCATGGTAGTCGGTGACCAACGATTGGTCCATACGTCATTTGTTCCTTCAGGATATTGGAGCCAGCCCATGTGTTCCATTGGTTTGGGATCCGGTTAAAGCGACGGACATTCGCTTTTCGTCCTCTCATTTTCGTAAACAACACCCCCGCCACGTGAAGGCAGTGAGTAGGACTTCCGTGGCAGGGGCTATGTACGCGTGGCCATGTGAGAGCATTTCGAGAGGGAGAGCGGACTCTCCCCACTCCCGGCCGTACCAGGGCATTTGGGGGCGGGATGATCTCAGTTCAAATATGTTTCTATGACATAATTGTAATTCAATGAAATTTCTCATCGAAAATCTAGATGTTTATAATTATATTACTCAATTGTTGATTTCGGAGGATAGCAGAAAGTTACTAATGTTCAATCAAAAGTATTGGGTTTCTAGAATCATCAAATCGATATTGATAACACTTAACCAGGGTAAGTGAATTGATTAAAAAATGGTATGAACATGTATATACTTATATGAAGCAAATATGTATGTATGTATATATAGGATTTGTTGACTCCTCAAGATTCTAGAAATCGTTGGTTTAGAGATGATAATTAACACAAATAAAAAATCTATTACATAATGTTAATTGAGATCACCTATGGGATAATTTGAACTACTCTGTATTCGTTGTCTTTTAAACTAAATTCCTATATTTTGTAAAATCTGACTGTGAATGCGCACTGCTGAGGAGTCCCATAATAGAACGAAACGGTTGTCCAATGCTTCCAGATTTTCCATGGTGGATCTGGCTTCAATTGACTCATGATCTCAACCATTGAAATTACTAGAATATCCACAAAAATACCCTTCTGATATGAATCAACATATTCTCACTAGTGACGGTCTCCAAGAGATATTTCCTGGAATTCTAGTGAGAAGCAGTGACCAGTGGAGTTCAACTGGGTCTGTTGTGAGATAGTAACTCACTAAAGACAATGGTGGATGTGTCGTTCAATTTTGTGAATTGGTTTAAGTTAGACATTAACACCGTTGGATGTCGGCCAGCTTAGTGATTTAATGGTTAAGTGCTCGTGCGCGAGACTAATAGGTCCTGAGTTCGAATCTCGTGAGGTGGGATCGTGGGTGTGCACTGCCAAGGAGTCCAACAGTAGGAAGAAACAGCAGTTCAGTGCTCCCAAGTTTTCCATGGTGGATCCAGCTTCAATTGACTCATGATCTTAACTATTAAAATAATTGTAAAATTGAGCAAACATTTTCGAAAATAAGTATCCGTTCTTTTGTAAACTATAAACTTTTATCTCTGATTAAAAATATAACAAAACAAAGAACTATACAAATTGCGCTATCAATCTATTTCAGTTTCAATTTCAAGGTTACGTTGATTATGTACATCCATTAATTCTATATAGCTCATTTTAATTTCAATACCAGTGGCTACGTATATATATATATATATATATATATATATATATATATATATATATATATATATATATATATATATATATATATATATATATATATTGGAATAAGAAACTAGGGTTATGTACAAATAAAAACTAAAGTGTGAATGAAACTTTAAAACAAGAAAACAATAACAGTACATTATTTGCAGGTCATTTGATTGTTTATATGATTATAAATTGAGAAGAATTTACATTAATGTTATGTTGTTACTAACTTAATAGGATGGCAAGATTAAACGCTTTTATGTTGAAAAGCTTAATTCATAGATGGTTCTTCGTCGGGAATAATGTCAATCAGTCAGCTACAATGTTGGACCAGGCACTTATATGCATTGGTACAAGCTGCCATACCTCATTAACACAGTTAATTTAGTGTTGGTAATATATAAAAGAAAGTTTGCATATAAGGATATAGTACAGGAAGAAAGAATTAGTTCATAGAAAGAAACATATGAAGCGATTTTAATCTCATAGTTTAAGGGAAGACAAAGAGTGTATACACCTATGCCATTGTGCTATTTCACATACAGTCTCCAACCATTTGTTACGATAGTCATGCGGACCCACAACCAAGTAGTCTGCATCTACCAACATGGCTCAGACCAGAAATTGGTGACTTCAAGCACTGATGCCATATTTTGCTGTGGCCACCTCTGATTTTCTTCCATCCATCCCCAAAACTAATCAGCATTGCGCGTCATGGTAGTCGGTGTTCAGGCATACGTAACACGTGGTCCAACCATCTCAGTAGATG